CGAGCTTTTGTAACTGTGCTTTTTTTAATTTTGTTTAGAAATTGATTTGAAATAAAAAGCAACAAACATCGTAAGGTGCTTTTGTGCCATTTTTGAATTTTTGAAATCATTTTTGTAAAATAGTGGGAAGGCACTGTCTGTAACAAGTGTGTAACGCCTTTGAGACGTCTATAACCTTAGTCTCTCCCGTGACCATGATTGCTGTAAAACATTCGAAACGTCGGGAACCAAAAATCAAAATAAATCCGCGAAATAATCCGAAAAGATAGTTTTATTTAAAATGGACAACATCTATAAAATAATCTATCATCCAAAAACTAAAATTATGTTTAAGTATGGTACTTGGTGGTATTTTGAATAACCATTTATAAATAAGATAAGAAATCGTTTATTTAAAAATATTTTCCAAAATACCAACTACCATGCATGACTCAAAACATGGTCATGGTGTGCTCGTTTTTGTGCCCTTCCAGGGTTTGCGCCCTGTGTCTGGGCACCGATGGCACCGCTCTATTTATGGCACTGTTATAAATGAACTAATCTGTAATTGTCATCGGCGAAGCATAACGTATTCTAATTCATTAGGCCCTCTTAATAGGCGACGGTAATCATGCAAATGGAGTAAGTACGGAAGATGCTGTTTTGGTCTTCCCTGATTTTAACCAGCATCGTTTGTCTCACCACCCGCATAGTAAAAATAAAATTGAAATGCCTATGATGTCAGAAATAGTTTTAATGTCAAAATAACGTGCATTGTACGTTCATCGCGTTGAAACATACGGGGTGGAACAAATGGATGGGAAATAGAAGAAAAGTACCTTAAATAATGAAGTTATCAAAATTTTCCCAAAGGAAATATTGCTTTTTTTTAAAAATAATAATACATATATGCATTTTTTTTAAAAGCTTAGGTATCTGAACTTTGAATCGGACTTACTAAAAATCCAAAAAAAACGTGTGTGTGTTTGTCTGTGTTATGTATGCACGTAAGAAGTTATACTTATTTGGCGTAACAGAACGAAAATAGCTAAAGATTTAAAGCAATATTTCCTTTGAGTAAATCTTGGTAACTTCAATATTTAAGGTACCTACTTTTCTTCTATGTCCCAACCATTTCTAATATTTTAGACTTTTTAACTCTACTTACTTTACGTGAATAGTGTTCTGTTGTGAGTTTTACGGAAATTATTTTTTATTAGTGATTGTATTTATTTTTCTACACATTTTAATTTTTAAGCTACGTTCATTTCGTTACAATAAGCTCAACTTTAAATTACAAGTAGGTATACTAACGTTTTCTTAGAAAATAAAACCTACTTATACGGATCCTAAGTTACATGTGACGAAAACAACGATAGAGTCTATGTAATAAGATACATATAACCTCAATTATCAAAAAGATACAGTAATAATATGAAAAGAAAGTTGTTCCTTATAAAATAATACCTGGTTATATTTTATGCTCAGCCGATAGTATCAGATAGAAGAAATGAATTTATCACTCCAGATTGATAGACAAAAGAAATAAATTAATTTTGATTATACTTCACTCTTATTATAATTATACTTGATCTTATTATATTTGAAATTTTAAATAAAACAATCTTTTCGGATTTTTTCGCGGATTTATTTTGATTTTTGGTTCCCGACGTTTCGTTCATCTTAAACCTTAGTCTCCCCCGTGACCATGAATGCTGTAAAGCGTTCGAAATTCGACACGTTTCTTTGGCATAGATTTAAAATAAACAATCACTATGCGGGATTCAAACTTGCGATCTTCAGCATATAGCACTGTCAGGTAGACCATTCTGTGCTTCGAATTTTATTTCAACACTCAGTATACAAAATATTCAATAGAATGTATTAAAAGTATGAACTTTATATCATAATTTACCATATTTTATAGTATTGAAATTACAATATATGTATGTATGTATAAAGGTAGGTGGTGTCTACTCTGAAGCCATTATGAACCATGGACACGTCATGAATGACAGTTATTTGAATATTGAACGTTACATTAAAAAGGTTTTAGATGCGCATACCGCGATTTTATTACTGTGCTAGAGCTCGTAAAGTTTGAATAAAACCTCTTTGGTCGACGCGAAACTTTTAAAGTATCTATATAATGAAACGAATTTCATTATCTTTTAGTAATAATTTAACTTTTCCTTTTTACATTTTTTCTCTCACTTGGTATATGTGCCGTATATATTATGCAAATAACAATATTATTGATCTAAATTAAATATACTTAATATGCCATTAGTCACACTTAGATTTTTAAATCTAATATGAGTTAGGTATGTATGCAGTGTTTAATTATACTACTAACTAGCGACTCACCCTCGCTCCGCTCGAGTATCGTCCCTAGGTGAATCTTTAAATTGACGTAACTTTTTTATCGATTCAAATAAAACAAATACTAAATGTTAAGTGAAGCTTACCACAATATATTAGTGAAAACCGCATCCAAATGAGTTAAGCCGTTTCTGAGATTGGCGCGCACAGGCAAACAGACAAGCCGACAAACAGACAAACATTTTAAAAATCATTGTTTTGGGTTCTATTGCGTAAATTAAGACCCTCAATGATAGTTTTTCTCAAATATCTTCCATGTACAGACAGCGATCAGTTACACTTTTATTAAATGTATAGATATGCTTTTCCGCTTCACCGGGCTGAGTGAGAAACCGCTGGACCTAGAAATGTTGAATTATTTTTAGTAATTACTAAGAAAATGTATTTTGGAAATCAACGCTTGAGGGGAGAAAAGGTGTATCAAATTTTGTACAAAAAATATTATTTTTCTGGCCAAATTAACTTGAAACCTCCAATAATTTACTTTCTTTTTTTAAGTTAAAATCAATAATTCCTATAATACTTTCTTAGTTTATTCGAATATTTGACATTTTAAATTTTTTCGCGGATTTCTTTTGATTTTAGGTTCCCGATGTTTCAAATGCTTTACATGACCTTGATAAATTGATCATGAGATATCATGACCATTATTGATAAGAAAAAATCTGAAAAGATTTTATTTAATTCTAATAAGTCAAATGTCTTAACAATATTAAAAAAACTAAATTCTACTAAATAAGTATAATACTAAAAATATGAATCTACTTTACATACTTATATTTATATGGGAATAATTTTAAGAGTGTCCGTTTGCATAAGAAAAATCGTGAATGTAAACGTAAGCGATTTAATGAAGCTATAGAATTTAATAGTCTATTGATACTGTTTTTTACATATTTTTTTAAGATTTCATCATACAATAAAACTGCCCGTGACTTGAATCAGAGTGTCTGAATGATATTCAAAAAGGTGAGATGTGATATATCGGCAGGATATCTAATTCAATCCACTTAATAAATTACAATATATAACAGAGTTCTCATATTTTATTCATATGTTTAAATAAGTTTAATAATTTGAAATTATAATTATCTGCATTTAATCGTCCATTGAAAACGTTACTAACAATGTAAATAATGAATTTAATAATTATTGTTTACTTTTCTAAAAGATATCTATTTTAAGACTATGAAAATGTTTGAATTTATATACATATAAATAAACAATGCATAATGATTAAATTTTTGAAAATTTTAAACTTAAAAAAATCAGGCTAATAAATAATAATGAATATTATGTTTATAAATAAAATATTGTTTGATGTTTATATAATTAATTATAAGCATTATGCTATAACCGAATGGGCTAACTACTTCAACACTTTCCGATAATAATTTCACTTCGAATAAAACATGTTATTTGTATATTTTATAGTACAAAAAATGAAATAAATTATTATTTAGCAGATTATCCAAAATCACCATCGTAACATTATTTCTTAATCTGTTTTTAAATAAAACTTAAGGAAGTTCAAAACTCTAAAAAAAAGTACACATTCAAAACTTTTGTGACGTAATTACACACGCGCATCATTTCACGTCTACACACAATGACACTTGACCCACACATTGGCTGTGTTCACAGGAGTTACAAGTGTATGTTGCATGCGATCGGATGAATGCAGTCACGCATAGGCGGCGCATTTATAACTGTGCAATTTCTTCAATATAATAAGTATTTGGTTTTACAATCCTCTTATTTGAAGTTATGAAATGAATGTTTTAATGTAAAAAGAGTGAGAGAGTCATATAGTTATAAAACCATTGGTATTACTGGAATAATTAATACTAAACGCTATTTTTAAATCGTATCTACTTCAGTTACTTATTATTAGGTACACATTACTTATTGATTCTATATCTTCATTAAATATTATGAGACATTTTGTGATCTACACTAATTTTATAAAAAGGAAAGATTTTTTTTGTTTGTTTGTTTGTACCAAATAAGCTCCGAAACTACTGAACCGATTTAGATGAAATTTAGTAAGAAAATATTTTAAGACCCTAGGAAGGACATAGGATAGTTTTTATCTCAGAAATCATTCCCTAAGGAGGTGAAAATAGGGATGAAAGTTTGTATGGGGAAGCAATTTATTATTTATTATATATTTTGACTGGTAAATTAACAATAGTACATACCTGGGCGATCGAGCTTCGCTCGGGGATTTGTGTTTTTTTTCGGATAAGAGGTAAAAAGTGCATTTCTTCTAGAAAAGGCACCTTGTAGATAAACTTAAAAAGTAAAACTTTTAATTTATATACATATATATATACAAGAATTACTTATTTAATATTATAAGATTTTATCGCACAATGAAATTAAAAAAAGACTTTGTCTCTATCACATGGGAAAAGGAGTGACACTAAAATCAACAGCAAATACAAATATTTATAAATAGGTAGTTATCAAGTTATCACATCATATTATCATTTCTGTAATAGCAAATAACGGTACTAAAACAATACAAAGTATGATTTACACCGATTATATAACTAGAATTAATAGATCTGATATAATACCGCATCCATTATTTCATATGTTAGGAAAGTGCATACTTGCAACGTGCACAGCAATAAATGCAGTGGCGGGGGGGTAGGGCGCGGGGCGGGGCAGTGCAGCGGCGGCGGGGCAATCAGTCGCATCGTGACCGCGCGTCGCGCTGCGTGTGCGTTTGTTCTATGCGCGCCGTACACCCGGCTCCGAACACGGACGAGCACGAGATGGTCTCCGTGGGCGCGTGGAGGCGTCGCACGCCCGACGAATGCGAGGAGCGCTCCGAGCCCGGCGCCTCCAGCTCGGCCGTGCCGCGCGCGCCGCCCAACTGCGCGAGATGCCGCAACCACCGTCTCAAGATAGAGTTGAAGGGCCACAAACGCTACTGCAAGTACCGATATTGCACCTGCGAGAAATGTCGCCTCACAGCGGATAGACAGCGGGTCATGGCGTTGCAAACCGCTCTCCGAAGGGCCCAAGCGCAGGATGAGGCTAGAGCCCGCGCTATAGAGTCAGGATCCCAACCCCCTGGAGTGGAACTGGACCGACCAGAGCCTCCGTTGGTAAAGGCACCGCGAAGCCCGGTGATTCCTCCGGCACCCTCCAGGTCTCTGGGTTCGCCTAGCTGTGACTCTATCCCGGGATCGCCCGGAGTGTCTCCATATGCGCCACCACCGCCTTCGGCGCCCCCGCAGCCGGCCATGCCGCCTCTATTGCCGCCGCAACAGCCCGGTTAGTGCATTTTTTGCTTACCGATGCTAAGATAAAATTAAATGTTGATAACAGTGTAATAATATAATACGAGCGTGCTAGTGACAGAAACTTATGTAAGTACTCGTACAATGTTGGCGTGTTCTTAAGATAAAGCGTAAAGTTTATCAGCTCGTCTTGACATAGCCATAAAAATATAAAATTGAGGTAGGCTCAATTATTTTGATAATATTTATACGTAGCTATAGAACCGATAACAAAGTATAATATTAATACGATACGGCTGCGAATTATCTGTTAATAAATGGCATTGGCATATATTAAAGCAGTGTGAGAAAAAATATTTGCGTAATAAATACAGTATTCAGATAGCACATTTAAAATTCAAAACTTATTTATGGACATTGTACACCGTTAGATTTTATGTCAATTTCAAAACAAACATTTTAGAACTACAAGAGTAAAAACAGTTTACGTGCTAAATCATTGTTTATTACAAAACTTTATAGAAAGTTATAGGTACCTTTTTTTTATTTTTAATATAAGTATTTTTTCAACATCCGATTTGTTTTGCAATAGTTAAAAAAATCTATAAAAGACTAAACTACAAGTAATAAAAATTTAAACTATGCGTGGCTTTAATATGTCAGAATCTAATATTATTTAAATTAATAAGAATAATTTTATCTTCAAAGTCGGCTGCTATATAGTTTATATAACAGAAATATTTATTTTGACATAAGTAAGGCATAATAATTTACATATATCTTCATGCCGAATTTTTTAATAAAAAAAGTAAGGGCAAATTTATTTTTTAATTAATTTAATCGTTTTCTGTGTTATACTGTTTATGCTTCGTGGTTTTTATTGTCTTATTATTCCAATTATATATATTTTTTTATGTATTGTATTAAAGTATTCATCTAAATTAAATTTTAAATTAAATTGAAAATAAGTGTCGCTTAAAGATCTAGGTTACCCAGTGACAAAGTAAAGCAGTATTTAAATGCCCTTTGCCTTCATACAGGAGACGTATGATTGATGTTCCATACGCGACTTTAATATGTCTGAGCCCTATAAAGTTTTCAATGTTTGGATAGCTTCTTATTAACTGCCGTCTTTCCTTATAACTTATAAATAATTTAAAAATAATATCGTACTTCTCATTAAAATAATTACAAAAAAATAACAGGAAAATTTGCGACCAAAAACGGAATTAATATCCCAATATATTAAGATGTCAATTTAAATTAACCTATCAAACCTTTTCGCACAAAAAAGTTACATATGAAAGGATAAAAAGTATTTAATCTTTAATGATGTTTAATCTTATAAAAGATTACAAGATCACAAGGGAAATAAATATCTTATGTCATTTTAAATTTTGATTAGATATTGCGAGATATAACACATTTGCAACAGTCATGATTAAAATAGACAGAAATTATTTTGATAAAGATAACCCTTAGTAGATATCTGTTTAATGTACAGGATATTTATCATTTTAGTACGAAAAAAATTTTTGAACTATGTGTAATTACTTATTAAACTTCAAAAAAATAAATGAAAAGTTGCATTTGGAAGAGCGATGGAAGAGCACTATTTGGGTTTCTCTATCGTAAAATGTTTTGCTAGAATACTTATTATGAATTTACAAACCGATCAATGAGAAACCGTATTTTTGAAGAATGTAACATTGTAAGAAAAATTGTTTAAGAATTAAATAATCAGTTTTTATTTTGTAATGCTTCATTTAATAATTAATTATGCAAGAGATAACTACATTTTGACCTTCATTGCTTCTGCTAAGATAAAATGTAAGTGCACGTCAAGTGTATGATATTGTGTATTAACTACTAATATTAAAATATGCCAATTCAATATTTTTATCAGTTTGCTTTAGTATTTTGATTCTGCTAAATGTTATGTCGACCTACCGATTCACGTTATTTGGTTACCAGTTACGAAAAATTTAACAATGGAGTATAGGTACCTATATAATATTTATCTTCAAACATTAAGTTACGTATAGTGTCTAAAGAGTTAGTGCGATATGGCGTCGGAAAACTCTACCAAAAACTATTACGCTAAAGTTGGTCAAAATTATACTACAGCGCAAGTTAAATAATTATATTTAAATTATTTTTAACCTATTTTTAATTTTATAAGCACTCATAATTACATACATATGTACCTAATGTGCTACAAGAAAATTCTACGTGGAATATTTGTCTTTGAATGAAAAATATTGCCTTTGGTGAACGTTTAAGTTAGTTAAACATAAAACACGATTTAATTTTTTTATCTATTTAATTTGTTTAAATATAGGTATCTATTTACACCGAAATGGTTTTCCTATTTTTTATGTCATTTTTTATTGTACAGGTAAAATCTTAATTAAACACGTTGCTTATTGATTCCGTCGGAAACATTCAAACTTGGGTCAAGCTTAGTAATTGTTGATAAAAAACAATTATATTATTGACGATATACTGGTATGTATATTATTAAAAGTTGGCGTTCACAATATATTTTAATAAAATATTTTTTTTTGTTAAGACTAATTTAGAAAGAAAATTCCTATTAAAAGTCAATGAACGCTTGTACTTGCCATACATTAAAACTCGGTAGGCAACATGATATGGTAAAAACTATATACATACATATTAAATAGATATGTAATAATCATTGTGATAAGCATGTCAAGAAGGTGAATAGATACCACTTGCATACAAAATACACATTCGAGAATATTTTAAATCCGCTTACTCGAATATTAGCCCAAGTATTTTAAATTAACAAAAATTCTGTAGGTATATATTTTTCTAAGGTTTTCGTTTTAGTATTTGACATATTACTGGAAATATGTAATTATTAACAAAGTTAAAAATTATTTATGACTACTTTATTAATATATTTTTTATAACAAAAATTATTTAAGTAATAAGTAAATAGATATGCAACCTATAATAGCGTTCATGCCTCCGTCTATAACAGCTAATGCTTTTTATTCTGTGGAGTCTAATTATTTGTATTGATGATAAACATTTATATTATATGTATATGTTATTAATATTTTTAGTTCACGTATTTAGTACTTTCATAAAAAAAACTTAGTTTTTTCTTTTGGGAAGTTCAGAGTTCAGAATATAAATAAATTTTCGTTTTCAAATTTTTGTTTACGGTACTTTACCCGACACTTCGTTACAAAAGCAACGGTCTATTCAAGCGGATTGCCGTTCGACCTATTTATAACCGCATTATCCTGCTGTCTTGCTCTTTCCTTGAAATCTTTACCGCCATTTAGGGGTGGGTCCTTTATGGTGAACGGGAGGGGGAAATAAAATACTAAGCCTATAGCGTCAGGTAAATAACATAATGGGGTCGAAACTATACTCCCAAAATATCCAATTGTTTACGCCTGTTAGGAATTTTATTGCCGACATCCTACTTTTGTACGCTCTGCCGAACCAACCTGGCTATTTAACTATGTTGAATTATAACACAATACGTTACATGCAGAACACTTGATCAAAGACGGTCTTGCCAAAATAGTGCAGAATAAACATGTAAGTGTACTGCGCCTATAGGTACAAATATTTCATTAAAATCTTATTAGTATCTATCTATACTACCTGTATGTACCTTTATTTAATTTTTTCTTCATTTACATATTTTGCGCCTACATAAGTGTAAATATATTTATTAGTCCATTTTTATTTAAGACACTAAAATGAACAATTAAAAACAATCTATACTTATTTACTTATAATATTATAAAGAGGTAAAGTTTGTGAGATTGTGAGTTTGTGACGTTGTAGGGGGTAATCTCTGGATCTACTGAACCGATTTAGATGAAATTTAGTAAGGAGATAGTTTGAGACCCTGGGAAGGACATAGGACACTTTTTATCCCAGAAATCAGCCCTTAATAATAATAGCCCTTTGTATTGGGTATTTGTATGGGATTATATTTATCTATATTTTATTTATACTACACACTTATATAATTTTTATAATTTTGTAGTAGGTAGTAAAAATAATTGTAGGAAGTCATATTAGTCATAACGCTCAGAGCTACACATTCGTTGTAACATCCACACGCAACCTTACGTTTGTAAGGCAATAAAGTAAAGGCAACTTTTTGTGTTAACTAAGATATTACTGGAGTTTAGATACTGTATTAGAAAGTATTTATATGTTCGAGTGCACTTTGTTACGTTTGCTCAGAGATGATATCCAGTGGTTTTCTCGTGATGCGTTCCCAGACAGACAGACATAGATTATAGACAGACAGACAGATAGATTATAGACAGACAGACAAAAACACTAAAAACTATAGATTCGGCTTTTATATCGATAATAATAACTATTTCAATAAGATTTAAAAAAAATATTTAATGTTCAGATTCGACTCATTTAGAATTTTATTATAAGTACCTATGTATCGATGTAATTGTTAGTATTGTAGTAATCCTGTGTCTGTAAAAGTTTCATTTGGCTTTCCATTACGGTTAAGAAAAGTAAAATCCTTAAAATGGCATGAAAGACAAACGACAGCTCCGGCTTAGTAGTTTAGGTTAGGGTATCGACCAGTACCTTGGGCAGAGGGTCCTAAATATAGGACAGGAGAAGATAGAGCTGCATGTCAAAACTAGTTAAAGAAAAAAAATAGTGTCATTTATTAATCTTTCAGATAATAGATAGTTTCGATTGTTTGACAGTAGGCATTAAAGAGTTGCTATATTACATATTATATTTTAAGTATGCTATTACGAGTATAATCTTAGGTTATTTGAATTATCAAGTTATAATATTTATTTATAACATCACCTTGTGTACTCGCGGAAATCACATAATTGTATAATGCATAATTATTATCAAAAAGTAAGCATTTATCTTATCTTTACCTATCAAATACATTATATATCATCCATTCATCATATATGTCATGCCTTGTGGATCGAGATCCCACTGCAAGATTACTACGTTCATCATATGGCAAAGATAGATTAAAGTGAA